TATATATATATATATATATATATACATATATATTTGTGTGCGTGTAAGGATTTTTCTACTTTTATCCACAAAGTATTCATTTGTTTTGTATGGGTCTGTAGTTAAATATCTAACACACAACATCATACGTAATTTATCTCAACTGGAAATATAATTCGAACAAATAGCATGTTTGTTCTGTATGCAGCTCATGCTTGTTATTTGTTGATGTGTCGTAGAGTTACAAGCTCAACGCATGTATAGATACTGAAAGTAAGTATGAGAGTAGTTGCTAGGTCAAGCTTCCAGTCAGACATCTATATCACATATTGTTGATGAGCGTAAGATTTCACTATTGCTGTCGTCGATTACAATGCACAATTCACGACTAGTTAATCGATATGCATACATGTGAGGGATATACATCAGTTTGTGCCTCAGGTTGATCAGACTGAAGTTTCTAGTATGAAAATGGATGCTGTCATATCGTTGCTTATGCTGTGAGTGCATGCAGAATTTTGTTTGATGTCATTTACAGTTGTAGACGAAATTTGACGATAATAAAGTTATAATCTCGGAATTAACGTTTAGACAAGAGTTTGTTTTCGGGCACCACTTATAAGACTTGCATCCGTTGCAATGCTTCTAATCTAGGATTGTACTACTATATGCGACATATTTTAGAAAGCTGCCGATCAAAGAAAATCTTTCAATTAGAGGTGCATCAGAATAGAGACAGTTAAATAATTTCACCTTTCAAAAATGCATCAACAGATTATGTTCATGAATGGAAATGGGACGGTTGACGTGCCCTCGGTTTCCGTTACGGGAGAGACGGTCATCGCGATCTCAAGTCTGATGCGCAAACATGAAGTTAAAATTTCCTTCCTTCCTGGTCCGGATCTTATGAGCTTGCAAAAGGGCTTTGTTTTGATGATGGTGAATACCTTGGTAAGTTCCGTTGTATATTTTATGATTTTGCATCAAAAACAGTCACAGTTTCACTTCAGCTGATAACCTTGCCGGCTACCGTCACACATTGTCCGCTGTCCCTATATAAGTTTTAACCGGTTGTTTCTGTTTCATTTTATTTTGAAGGTTATTGCATCTCTCAACATTTACCTATTCGCACGTGAACAGATTATCTTGCTGGTTTTCGGAGGTTCTATGGGCATGTTCTCCTTCTTCATGTGGTATAAACGCACTGCTCTTGAGCGACGATTGCTGCGCGAAGCTGAGGAGGTCAAGCGATTAGCACGGGTGAAAGTAGAGGCCATAGTCAACTCCCTCGACGTGGGTGTGTATACCAAACCAGTCGCAGACGATTTAGAGTCTGGTGTTAATTGTATTGACATTGACAGTGGTGAGGCCGGGGCTGCCGATTCGACAAATACAAACAGTCGTACTGCGTTTGACAATGAGGTGGACTGCTGTGCAATCTGTCTGGAGGAGATGGAGGTCGGGGACCAGATACGCGTGCTGCCACTGTGTGTGCATGGTGCCAACTTCCATCTCATGTGCCTAGACCAGTGGCTCATGGATGTGCAGAGCTGCCCCATGTGCAAGGCACGATTAGCCGAAGACGAGAGCGAATGCGAAAGTGAATGCGACGAGGCAGAGAACGGAAATGTCAACGCAAGTGATGGTCCCGAGAGCGAGGGACATAGCAGTGAGGATGATGAGGATAACAATTCGAGTACATTGCTCACAGGTTCCTCCAATAGGACTTCGGGTTCAGTACGGGATACTGAGGTGGGTCATGTTATGTCGTCACATTTCCTAAATGGTAATGATGCCGAGGATGGAGGCGAGGATGACGACGTTGATGATAGCGGCGATGGCTATGTTCGAAAGTCACACCTACTGCCCGCGAGCGATGATACGGATATTGATGTTTCAGATGTCGCTAGAGGGGAAATCAATAGTAAGGGTATAACCGCGGAGCATAGACCAGCTAGTTCGACTGAACATACAGAAGTAGGCATGGAGTTGAGGTCGATATTTAGGAATGACAACGCGAGCAAGATGCACGAAGGCAATATCAGAATAAGCAAATCAAATATAAGTGAGAACATAAGTGGTCGTGAAAGTTTACGCGTGGACGACGATCAGGAGAGAGGGGACGAATGTGACACGGATGAGCAGACCAGATTAGTTTAATGGCTATGTAAGTCGTTTGCTATGTTTTATATACGATTACTAGACTGCAGCTATCTCGAATTCCCACCAATGTTGAACTCTGGCGTGGGATGACGGAGCCGCATTTGCTAGTCATACCCAGGAGTGCGAAATACTATAACAGAGACAGGATCTCTTGGGTCTCTTTTATATCGCACTGTCTGCCAGAAAATTACAGCATGAGCATGAAGCACGGTAGAGGATGGAGGATACCACTGAAAATGCGAGAGTTTTAAATATGTTTGCTATCGATACATCACTGCCAATGTGGATATAGTACTACCTACATCTGGTTGGACTCCCAACTTAAGACCAGTTTAACTATGCGGTCGATACCTCGATGTGCTGCGAGATTGGCTGTAGTGCGACATACCCGGCCGCACTTTGGTATACCCCTATTGGTTCTTAGTATTGAGGTTGGGTTGTTCATTGGACATTCTGGTTTTTACACTGGCTAAGTCGCTGTCATGTATTTATGGAAACCTTTAAACAGAGGAAGTCGCTATTTGAGAAGTGCTCTGAGCAATGTTGGACGCAGCACAATTAACGTATACTAGGTAAATAATTATCAGTCATACTTGTAAAAAAGAATATTTTACGACACGAATAAATCGATTATAATTGAATATTTCAGTCCAACACTTTCCGAAGGCATAGAGGCTAATCAAGACTTTATTACGACATCGTGATGTTTCTGATTCACCATACTTTGCGGTGGCTGTACTAGAACTATGATATTCTCTGCGTTGTTTTCTGTTGTATTATAGCATTCTAGAAAGACAGTTCTTCTCGTGCTACATACGCGCAGAAGATATCTTTTTAATTGTACAACTTAAGTTAACGACGCTCTGGAGAAATGGCAAGAAATATTTGTCACAGGGACGATGTTGTGAACTTGTGTTTCCTTCACAAGCTCATCGATTTCCTTTGCGGGATTCATGCAATATGGTATATTTACTAATTTTTATGAATGTCAATTTAGAAGGCTATGGATATGTGTATTGCAAAAGCCCCTTTATAATATATATTTACTTCAAGTTTTCAACTGGGGCAAAATGATTATACTGGTAGAGCCAACAAGACTATAAAATGCGTTGCCTCCAAAATTATGATTTAAAAAATACTGCAGACCTAAGCAGGACGGATGAGACCGGGAGGCTAATCGGGAATCTGGGAGTTTTATTTACTCTATATTTAGAGGTTCACCCAGAGTTACATAACTGGTTTTTTTCATTCGCACAAATTCTTTATATAAACGAGTAATGAATACATATATAATTCTATCCCAATCGGACTCTTGATTTAAAAGTTTTGAAGGATTCCAGATTGTACCAGAACTGGGCCAAACTAGCCAGTAGTCTACAAGACTCAACTACTCCAGAATTCATCCATGCCTAACAGACCTTAAAATAATTTTTAATCATCTAATGGCTAATGGAAGTTCTTTTATCAAATAGCTCTGGGTCATTCTGTATGGTATAAAGAAAATGTCCGGTCTCCTCCGTCCAATATTTTTTATTGTCCGCCCCTACTATTATTAGCAAGATGCTCAAGAGTGGAGGAAGCGATTGGTGCTCGACATGTCATTATCGCAGATGCTGTAGGGCAGGCGGGGGAGTACCGTCAGACGTAGTAAATATTTAAAAATAGTTATTTACGTTGTATCATGTATTTATGGCCACCTAGGGTTGGCCAGAGTTCAGAGCCTCAGTGGGCATAGGCCATAGGGCCGTACTATGGTGCACCAACAGAACCACACGTAGGGCCAGCCCAGAGCCCCAGTAGTACACCAGAGTGACCAGGCTCGGACTCATTCATTGAATTACGTAAATATGTATTTATTTTTCTATTTTTAAATTGTTTATACGTTTCTCCCGCCGGAAATCGGAATTTTGTATGCGGCATCCACAATCGCACACATCTGTGACATGACCAATGAAATCACTTCAAAACGTAATTTTTGAAACGAAATTTCTCGAGGTCTGTCCCATCAATGTCGCATTGTCGCCGTGTCTGTCAAAAGTGTCACCGTGTCGGATTGTCTGGTCAGTCTATTCACTATATATTTTAGTATTTTTAGTATTGATTTATTGACTGCTGGTAGTAAACGCAAGAGTGAAATAGGGACGACTTTCTAGAGTACAGACTACACAGTCATATAGTCAGACAGTGAGCGGGCCTTGGGGACACTAAATATTCAGCAGTGTTGTATTGCGTCGCACGAACTTTGAAGTAAAAAGTAAATATAAACAAAGGAGCTGGCTGGAAGTGCAAGCACACACACGAGCATACTATCCATAAGTAGTATAGAGTCGACTGGAGGATATAAACAAGCATCATGTTGAGTATAAGTTCGCGCTCCAACTGCGCCCGAATCGTAGCAAAACGGCAAGCAGTCATCGCAGCGAAGTTGCGCAGCTATTCGTCGACAAACTTAAAACCTCTCGGCCGACTACAGATATGTGATACGTAAGTAATTTCTATAACTCTAAAAAAATTGCGCAATCGGTGTCATAGTAAATCACATTTTGTTATATGATTCCTACTGTGTTCCAAATAATATGCAGGCTTTGTCAGACGAGTAATCAAGCATAGAACAAATTGTGCTGCGACAGCTTCTCTATGTGAATTGAATGCGACCAAATTAAAGGGCGTTTAGTTCAGTGAATGTACTTACTACCATAATATTATATATATATTTATATATATAAATATATACATATATATAGATTATATGGATAGATTATATAGATAGATTATATAGTATATATATATATATGGATAGATTATATAGATAGATTATATATATATATATATATATATATATATGCATAATAGTACATATATATATACATATCTATACATACATTTATATATATAATATATATTTATATATATGTAAATACAAATATATACATATGTATTTATATGTATATATAGATTATGTATCGATTATATATAGGTTATATATAGATTTATATAGATTATATATAGATTATATTGATTCTATATATATATGTATATATATATATATAGATATAGGTTGTGCATCAGGTTATATGTATATACTATATGTATATTTACATTGTATTCGTATATACATATATATATAGAAAGTACGAAAAATAATTGCTGTACTGTAATCATACGAGTACCGATTTTAGTTTTTACCACCGCATGTATCAGAGGACGCCCTAACACGTTGATCAACTCACTGTTACTGTTCACAGAGCCGAAGAGGCTGTGAAAGATATTCCCGATGGATCGAAACTGTTAGTTGGTGGCTTCGGACTGTGCGGTATTCCAGAGCATCTAATCAAAGCCCTGAAGCAGCAAGGGACGAAGGACCTCACCTGCGTGAGTAACAATGCTGGGTAAGCAAATGAACTCCCTAGCATGTGATGACACTTTGAATATTTTCACATATTCATGCGTTTTTCAACTGGGGTTTTTTCGCACACAACAGCAGAATAATTAACTTTCGAGTGTTTACCGCACACTGTGGTGGGCCGTCCAGTTCATACTATTTTGCGGCGGGGCTTTGTTCTGAGAGTTACTTGCTTTGTTACAGTGTTGACGATGCTGGACTTGGACTACTTTTAAAGGGTAAACAAATCAAGCGTATGATTTCGTCCTACGTGGGTGAGAATGCGGAGTTTGAGAGACAGTTCCTCAATGGTGAACTCGAGGTCGAACTTACGCCACAGGTATTTTTTTTTTGCACGTACCGTTTTCTTGAATTTGTCAATGTGGGCGATAACACTCTTTGTGATGCTATATGATGTACATCCCATTTGTTGGAGGCGAATTTGTATAGCTGTCGTATCATTAGCTTTCTCGGGGAATCTAGCTCCTACTTTCAAATAGCAAGTATTGAACTCGCTACATTCATGAATTTTAGAAAAGCGAAAGCCATGTACGTCAACATTCGTGCTTTATAGGCGTGGGCCGCCTTTACTTCATGGTCTTGTTGTGCCTATCATCTATTCCCAAACAGGCATCGAATATGACGTCTCCGTTCTATCATAATGCAGGGAACTCTTGCAGAGAGATGTCGTGCTGGCGGAGCTGGGGTGCCCGCTTTCTTCACCCCCACAGCTTACGGAACAGTTGTGCACACGGGCGGTTCGCCTATCAAGTACACGGAAGATGGCAAGGAAATTGCTATCGCGAGCAAACCACGTGAGGAGAGACAGTTCAATGGACGCGACTATATCATGGAAGAGGTAAGGATAGCGGGGAAGATGTATCACTTTCTCTATATCGGCCTTGCAGGAGTGTGTACCGTAGTTTCCTCTAGTTCTATAGCTATGTTGAATGACATGTTGGTTTATTCGGAAACCGAGTTTTTATAGTGAAATGCACATCATAAAATGGTGACTCTATCTTCGTTATACAGAACGTAGTAGGATAGATATACAAATTTTGCCCTGCTTACCAGATATCTGGGTCTACAAACACTAAATCGTGCGGTCACACCCTTTTTTTTCCTACTTAAGGCTATTACAGGAGATTACGCACTAGTGAAGGCAACCAAGGCTGACACCGCTGGCAATCTGATCCTCGCGAAGACGACGCAGAACTTCAACAACGCGATGGCTCGAGCTGCCAAGATCACAATTGCAGAGGTAATGTATGCTTCCCAGTACATACGCGAAAGACTGTATGCATCTTTGTGTGTGCATATGGAGGACAAATGGTGTGCGGTCCACTACACCATGACAGCGATCTCTTTTTGTCAGAGCAGTGTTTGCTATGTATATATTTATAGTTAGCGCAAGTGGGAATCCTTCATGTTAGTTGGTTCTATCGCTTCTAGCTCATAAGTAGAATGTGGTATGTGTACTTTGGATGCTTCGTAAATTGCTCGCACTAAGGACAAGCCCAGAATTTTGAGGTTTAGTCGTCACTCATACTTTTTGTTTGAGTTGCAACCACCCGCGAAACTCTTGTTTATTTCGAGAAAGCAACAGATTCCAAATTCTTGTTTTTGTCTCTATCGATTATCACGGTTGCTCGTATTGAATCGGATTTGAATTTTCTTTGAATACTAACAGGTTGAAGAGATCGTGCCTGCCGGTGAACTGAGCCCTGAGGCTATCCACGTGCCTGGAATCTATGTCAACCGCCTCGTAATTACTAAGCCCGAGAAACGCATCGAGAAGACGACGTTATTCAGAGAGGTGAGCTGTTGTACTTATTGTACTGTTTTGCGAGAATGAGTGAACTTGGCACCATAGCGCACACCACGGCGGAGTTTTTGTAGCCGTAATGCCGCAGCTGCAATTTGTGTAGAAAGAATCACCGGATTGAGTTGGATATTTATTGCAATCAATATTTTTTTTACCAAGCACGATGCTTTATACTTTACGAACATCCACAGTAGTCTGTGTAGGAGACTACAAATGGACAGGCCAATAGGGACATCAGTATATACAGGACTGTTCAATGCACGCTTGCAAAACGAAGAATACAAGTCGGTTTTGCGCTTGGAGTACATTTTTTTGGGCATTCGTATATTTACTATGGATAGTGATTCTAAATGTGAATTCTCTTAGGGACACATACACAGGCCTTTATGTATATAGTTTATATTTACTATATAAAATATAACTTATCCTGATACCAATGTGCCTGCGCACTTCATTATGATACGTTCGGATGCATATGTATCTGTGTCCTCCAATCGAGCACTCCTGAACTATCCACTGACATGACGAACACTATACTCAAATAGCCACCATCCGCTGGAGAGGCCGAGCACGAGCTAAGCACAAGAGAGAAGATCGTACGCCGCGCCGCCAAGGAGTTCAAGGTAGGTTGTTAGAGGTCCATCGCACCAGTGTTTAGCTTGTGTGCCCTGATGGATTGTATGCTCTGATGTGTACAAGCATATGAATTTCGGGTGTAAAGGCATGCAGAACTTTTATGGGGCGGTTGCTCAGTCTGTTCGGGGTCGTGACTTCTCCGTATTTCGTTTTCGTGCCACCGTGACGTGAACTAAAAAAAGTACTGCAAGTACTTGTGAATCGCATCTGACGATGGTCTTCATCTGACGATGGTCCTTTCCAGACATCAAGCAATATTTTAATAGATACACACCCTCCTGTTACTATAGGATGGTATGTTTGTCAACTTGGGCATCGGTATGCCCATGATGGCTTCCAATTACATTCCTGAGAATGACACCGTATGGCTCATGTCCGAGAATGGAATTATGGGGCTAGGACCATTCCCTACCAAAGACCAGGTATGTGTGTCTGCCAGCACATGTGGGTTCGTTGGCCGTAGTACTGAGTACTCGAATTTTGGGTTTCTCGCGGTTTCTTGCGATATCTGAGAGAGAAGAAGTTGTGCATTCGAATTTGAGTCGCCTGCATATTCGAATTTGAGTCGCCTGCATATAATGCATTCCTTACATATCTTGACGCTCATTGTGTCCGATTTTGCGGTTTCCAATTCATCTTAGGTCGACGCTGATCTCATTAATGCTGGAAAGGAGACGGTCACCATTGTCAAGGGCGGTGCATACTTCGGAAGTGACGAGAGTTTCGCTATGATTCGCGGGGGTCACATCGACATGACTGTAAGTGGTGCTTCAAATATCACTAATGTCCGCTTTCGCTTTCGTTTTGGCAGATCTTGACGACTATTCATTGACTGAAACTTTGCTTGCATCATAGAAAGGCTATCCAAGTTAGTTTGGTTTGTCAATTTGACAAACAAGTCATATGAGTGCTGCTAAAATATATCAGCAGAAAATGTTCTCGATGGGCCGCACATGATGAATGCCGTACCACCCATCTTCAAGTAGTTTTGAGCGCCGAGATAAAATTTCAATGTGTGTGGGCCGTTTCAGTATATTCTGACTCACTCACATTACTGAACGTCATTACATATGATGACAGGTTCTAGGCGCTATGCAAGTGTCCGAGAAGGGAGACCTAGCGAACTGGATGATCCCTAAGAAGATGGTGAAGGGTATGGGAGGTGCCATGGACTTGGTCAGCACTCGCGGAACAAAGACGAAAGTCATCATCACAATGGAACACACTGCCAAGGGTGGTAAGCACAAGATTCTGAGCGAGTGCAATCTGCCGTTGACAGGCCAGCGATGCGTGAGTCGCATTATTACTGAGAAGGTACGGGTGTGTCATAGTGTGAGTATCGAATATTTTTATGGGCGTCGGCTTTGCTTGGTTGATAAAGGTTGTATGCGTGTTCTGTCGCACTGTTCACTATTTTGGGTACTCATACTAGCATGGACTGCGTAGTCTCGCGTAAATTCATTGTTCATATATACGGCTTTGAATTGTGTTCCAATTTAATGAAATAGCGTTGCAAATGTCTTACTTGCTATTCATCTCCAATTTCTGATTATTTCTTTCTTACTTACTTTTCCACTCAAATAGGCTGTCTTTGACGTGACGCCTACTGGATTGCTTCTGCAAGAAATCGCAGAGGGATTGACCGTTGATGATATAAAAGAAGCCACAGGAGCTTCGTTTAGCGTTGCCGATAAAATTGCGACCATTCAATATGCTTAGAAAGAATACAGTAAATTTGAGACCATACTGTATGCTTAAAAATAAATAAATACTACACAATACACGTTTGTTAGAATACAGTAAATTTGAGACCATTCCATATGCTTCAAATTAAATAAATACCACACAATCCATGCTTGAATTTTTTGTTTGAAAAGGGTCAAAAGCAAATGCGAGGATATTGGCATAATGCATCTCTGAAAGTGGGCGACTTATTTGTTGTTTACTGTTCTGTAGTAGAACCGAAAACTTTAAACTCCTTGAGAAAGTATGTCGGGGTACACCTCTGAGCAGGTGACTTTATTTGTTATTTGCTGTTCTGTAGTAGAACCGAAAACTTTAAACTCCTTGAGAAAGTATGTCGGGGTACACCTCTGAGCAGGTGACTTTATTTGTTATTTGCTGTTCTGTTTGTAGGACCGAAAACTTGGGGACTTTGAGAAAATATGTATGTTTTGAGTAGTTACACTTCTGAGTGGGTGACTTTATTTGTTGTTTGCTGTTCGGTAGTATGACCGAAAATTTGAAATTGCTGAGGATACATGGCTGAATACACCGTGACTTTTTGTTTTGTTTGTCGCTCAGAAGTAGGTCGATATATTCCCCCATTAAAGCAGATGCTCAGATTACATACGTCCTGAAAACTGCAGTTTAACTTATCCTATGGCATGATGGTATAACTTCTGCTGATTGCTATAAACATTACACAGAAGTAAACTGAGCATCTACTCTCATTCAAAGCTCAATGTCTCGATTATTATAAAATTTGTATACGTATTTTGATGATCCACTGCATTATTACGACATCGCCCTAATAGTACACATGACAGTCGTTCGATTGCGCATGGACAATCCTCCTGTCTAAATCGAACGGTCCCATGACTATCTCAATGATTATTCTTCGCAGAGTATCCTCAGGCAATATGACACCTTGTTCGTAGCCCATGAGGCCACACAACTCCTCCAATATCCTCGTGAATTGGGCGTCGGTTTGTGCGAGGTCTAACGCTCCCTGCAGAAATCCTACCAACCAGGCACCACTCTTGTAGCCTGCGCGCTTCCTGCCCTTAGTCATACCGCTATAGAAATCCTTGTCATCGTATTGCCGCAATTTCAAATGCACAACACTTCTCGGGGCCACGTCCATATCCGGAATGGCTCTTAACTTGGAGGTACATGACATGAATATGAAGAATAAGTATCCCCGCCTATACTTGGGCTTCAGTTTGAATAGGATTTCGATGGCATTCTTTTTGCCCTGGGCCTGTTGCTCGTCAGTCACAGCTATTGGATTCAAGAATGCCTCCGAGCCGAAGTAAAAATTAGCACCGCATGCTAGAGTTTTTACGGAATGAGACAACGGGCCACGTTCGCCTTGTTGGAATTTATTTATGTACGTTGCTTGGTTTTGGCTTGATTTCCCACTACCCTGTTTTGCTTTCTTTGACGAAATGTGAAGTTTGTCAACTAGCTTGCGCGACAGCACACGGTCCAGAGAATTTGAGAGCTTAAGTTGGCCATTTATTTTCCTTGAGTAACTGCATGAGCCCATCATACCGACGAAAACTGTCGCTAGAGAGAGGCACCCCTTGTGTGTGTGTAAGATACAGAAACAAACCACTGTATAGTGTGTATACAGCGTGTGGTGACTGTGACAATACAGTCCTTGGCGATATATATATATATATAAAATGCCGAACGCAAAAGAATATCTGTCTGGCGCAGCAGCAGCTGTACTCTCACGTTCTCTGGGACTGAGCAAGAGAGAGTGGGAGTGTGGGACACACGGGCCACGGGCCACGGGCCACGGGCTCACGGCCCACTGAGTTCGCCGTTTCGTGCGGAAGTTCAGTTCGACACAAACAAATCAATTTTTTTAGCACGTTTTTTGAAAATACATAAATATACAATTTCTTTTGTTTCTTTCTTTTTAAAAAAAAGTACAATAATATGGGGTGAGAGGCTGAGAGCCACTGAGAGGGCGAGAGGGCGGAGGACGGACGTCGGGCCCGGACTCAAGTTTTGTCATTGTGTGTACACTGTATTCTGTAAACTGTACAAACAATATTTAGAAAAAAAATTTAGGTGTACAAGAGTGTTCGGTGTATTTACGAGCATATTTAGTCACCTGTTTAAAATTCTAGTCAACCTGGATGGTAGTCCAAGAAAAGTTCTAAGATGGGTGGATGGGGCCATGATATTTTTTCCATCATGAATGTACATACTGATTTCTGAAATAATTGGCTCTAATCATTCCCAGAGGAAGTAGTTAAGCATAGATGTAAAGCAAATCATTTCTTTTGTACATAATTATAGTGTCTTATTAACAGCGATTAATATGAAGATAGTTATTGTCCCTTAATCTAGACTGCCAAATCATTTAAAAGTACATGAGAGAATCATAATGAGAATTATGCAATCAACGTAGATAGCGCATAGGGAGCTGACAACCAACTAAAATGGCTCTAAACATTAGAGTAAGTACTAAAGTGCCTGAGAATAGCAAGCGTAAGCGCGGTGGTGCAGCACCTAAGGTGGAAGAGATGTTAATGGAATGGTCACAAGTATTAAACGAAAGGTAAAGGTAGCAGTAGTAACGTAAGTTGTGATGATAAAAAGGTATATAAAATACACATACGGTGGGGTCAATAACGCGCGCCTTACAGTCGAACAAAGCTTTGACCTCTCAACCGAAGAGAAGCCATCGTACTAGTCTCTTTGTTAATAGTCCATAACTTTCACGAACTTTGTCTAAACGATCAGGTCTGACTGTGCACTTTGTTTAAAAAAACCCCCACCCCGCGCTAAAAGCCTAAAACACACCCTACGGCCTACAGCCTACAGGCTACTGGCTACAAGCCTATTTTTTAAAAATAGCAGCTGCAGTATTTCATAGCCTTCTCAATTATAAATACACAAGAGGTATCTTTGTTTCATGTTTTTTTTTCTCGAACAAACCGGTTTGACTGTGAGACTGTGTTTCTGTGACTTCGTGTGTATTTGAAGGTCAGCAGTGTGTTGTAAATAAAAAGACGAAAAATATTTTATTTGATTGTAAATATAACTATGCACTATGCAGTATGCAGCATGCACAGCCTTCTAAAAAAAACCGGGTAGTGGCCGTAGTCCCGTAGCCGGGGTGGAATGTGGATACTCACAATATAGGATAGGTATTCCAATTTCCTCATGTGGCGTGTATAACCGGAGAGTTAGCAACACCTCTATGATTGTAACAATTAAAACCCCCCCGTCCCCCCAGTATTTTAAAACTTCCAAAGATCTTTCCATTACAATATGCGCAGCAACTATTTACTCTTCAGCATTCCAAAGTAGCCTAACGAGCCACTCGAACTTCATATTTTATTGAGACTAGAGCAGAGAAGTACTGGAGTACTGGTCTCAGTCAGGAGACCAGTGTACCTGAACTCATGAACTGAGACAGTTACTCTCTAATACAATAGTGTATAGTAGCTACTTCTCTCTCTAACAATAGTGTATAGTAGCTACTTCTCTCTCTACTCTAAGAGTAGAGAGAGAGAGAGAGAGAGAGAAAGAGAGAGAGCGAGAGAGACTGAGAGACAGAAAGAGTAGAGACTAGTGTTTGGCGCCTGCCGTCTGGTCACTACGAGAACCCTAAAGAAGATTCTATATTTGAAAAGATTTCAAAATAAAGAAATTGATGCCCAATAATAAAAAATGGTTGTTTGTCACTTCTGAGGCAAAAATAAAATTCAAAAAAAGGGTGCATCCACTCTGGCCACTCCACTACTGTAGCCTGCAGTCCTGCACTCTGCATTTCTTCACCTCCACTCTTGTTGTGTATATTAAATCATAGCGTCCTAAAATTCCAACATTTAGGTCTTATGATAGGAGAATATCTGGCTATGTATGGCAATTAGCAAATGTCCTCAATTTTTTCTATCACTAGCTAGTAGAGAATTATGAGTCATAAGTCATGGACTCATGGCTCTATTGATCATTTGATGTACATATGTAAATAGATATTCTCAATTTAAAAAGAAAATTAAACCCCAAATTTAGAAACAAAATGTTTGGGGACTTAAAAAAAATCGACTTTGGGTTTGGGGTTTGAGACTCTGCGACTTTGAGACTTTGGGCTGCTTTGCGCCTTTGCCCCCTGGTTCAGAATTTTGGTTTGTTTATTTTTATTTTGTTTCGTATGACCATGACCATCTCTAGAAAAAGCAGAAATTACGGGAGAACGGACAAGTCCGTAGGACTGGCCAAGATAATGACATTATTTTGATATAATGTTTTATAAAAAACAAACAAAAAAAACAAATAATATAGTATATATGTAACGATGTAAGTTACGTACACTATACGACTATACATCATACCGGAAACGAGTTTACGACTCTACAGTCTACGAGTCTACGTCCTACGACAATAATAAATACAACATTTGATGAATAAATCAGCAGATATACAGGACAATTTTTTTAAAAGAAGGATAGCCGATTGGACGGCCAGTATAGAGTAAACGCAAAAGCTGGAAGATTTAAGATAAAGATGGTCGTCATGACTGATGTTTTAGGCAGTCAGTGGACTCCAGAGTCCATACTCCGGAGTCTACTAGTACAGTCCAGAGTCCAGACTCCAGAGCCCATACTCCAGAGTCCAGACTCTCGAATCTTCAGTCCTCTGGCGACAGACCTACACCCTAAGTGAGTGAGTCCCTAATAAGCCTGAGCCTCGAGGCTGAGAGAGGGTGTGATACAGAGACTGTGAAGCTGTGAGCGACTGTTAGCCGACTAAGCGAGGCCCAGAGTCCCAGACTCTCAGAGACCAGAGGTCGAGTTCAAACTTCAAAATTTAGACTCTGGGTGTTGTCTGAGAGTCTGAGACTGAGACTTGAGAAGTCGAGAGAGGCCTTATTCGGGCTTTTAGTGGTAGGTACAAAACTCAAACAATTAGAGCCATCACCTATTGAGTCCTCAGTCAACAAGCTTCAGTCTTCAGAATTTTCTATTTACTACAGAGTACAAAGTACAAACTCAACCGAGTAAAAAAACATCAGCTGAGGCTTGAAGAGTTCGGTATTTCTTGTGCATATTAAATTTTTTTATTTTACACACACTGACAGACTGACCGTCTGATACGAGTCACACGACGAGTCAATGCGACACTGACACATATTTACAGAGTCATAGACAAAGTTACAGTGAGTCACTGACATGACATACCCATATATGGCATAGCACAAGAAGGGGCTCACTTGTTTCAATTTAGACGTCATTGTTTGTTTAAAAAGCAAACAAAAAAAAGACGGCTATGTACTATGGATGTAGCTCATGCAGTAATGCCTCATGGCCTTGCCACTCTCTAGAGTTGACATTTCATATTTGACAGGTAGTGAGGTCCACCGTATTTTAGAGTATCAGATTCAATGATTCAGTAATTCAGAGAGTGACAGAGTCAGAGAGACTCCAAATAAAGGTGCAGCCACTTCAGAAGTTCAGAGATCAGTGTAGAATACGTTACTCCTTCAAGGCTTTGCAACTGCCAACTTTCCTCAGCGCCCAGCAGTCCAGCACAATGCGCAAGAAGAAGGCAACAGCGTGCAGCCTGCATTCCTGCTGGAGCAGCAGTGAGGAAATCTACTGACTACTCTCTCTCTATCGGAGTTCAAGAGTAGTTTTCCTGTGATCTGTCAGACTGTCACTCCTGTTCAAACCTGTTTCCAAGGACCAAGCCGACCAATAAGTCACCGTGTACACGGCAGTAGTACAGTACATGACTCCGTGAGTACGTGTATGTACTTCGTAAAAATGCCACCTGGAATGCTGGAAGTGAAACCTATCTGCTCTTGTCCCCAAACACTAAATAAGTAAACAGATGCACATTTTGACGTGGCCGTGTCAAAACTGTCACGTGCGGTGTGAGTGTAAATTTGTGGAATGTGGAATGTGGAGCGTGGACCAAATAGGCAAAAAGTACACGCAAGAAGGGCAAAAAACAAACGAATGTACAATTAGCAGCTTTCAAAATATCAGACGCAACAAAATTTGTACTTTGTGGTGATGTACAGATAGTCTACTACAGAGAGTATAGAGTATAGTATCCGCATGACTACATACACAGTAATACACCTAAAGTCTCACACACAAACATACACACATACTACACACATACACAAACGAATACAATACATACAGTCATAAATACATACATAAATGTGCATTATA